TTTTTTTGTGAAAGTGGTTTCCCTGTCCCATTTGGAAAAAAAAAAAACCCCCCATTTAAAAAAAAAAAAAAAAAAAAAAACTAAAAAAAAAAAAAGTCATCCAAAGCAAACATGGGAGTGGCAGTGCGATGGTCTAGAAAAGCTTCAGGTCGATTACTTTCTGAAACCGTGAAGCATGTTTTCTTCCATAAAAAAGAAAAAAATCTGGAGATTGTCCACCCTTCACTCCACAAGGTCAAACCTCAAGCATTCTTGGGTTATTATTCAGCAGGACAACAAACTACAGCACACAATGAAGTAAACCTCTGAATGACTCACAAACAGAGGTTTTGGAGTGGCATAATTAAAGTTTGAACTGGTATTCAATTGGTTTGGTGTACCATGATCCTCAAACATGGTATTCATACTCGAAAACTCAAATTAAAACAATTCTGCAAACAAGAATGGAGTTAAAGTTAGACTCATTGCCACTTATTGCAAATGTTTGGCGGTACGTCGCTTCAGAGAGTGACAAAACTATTTTAGTAGAGTAAAACCTTTAATAAAGAAAAAAAAAAAATCCTGGTTGGCTTGAATGGCTGTTTTTTTTTTTTTTTTTTTGGGTGGGGGGGAAATATAAATATGTATTAATATTTGCAACGGCTATATTAGCCTCGTATAAAAATGTGTGAGATCTGAAGCAGGTAAGTGCTGTAAAACAAGCAAAAGAAATCAGTAGTGACGTTTTTTTTTGTTTTTTTTTACAGTACTGTAGTTGATTAATTAATATAAATACCTGTTGTCTAGCGTGCAGTCTAATTTTAAGTATGGTTAAAATTACCATACTTAAAGCAGATGTACTGTTGCACAGTACATCTGCAACAGTAAGGTTGCAGATGTACTGTGGCCGCTAATTTGTAGCAATGTTTAACGATTTGCACTTTAGTCCACCTTGTCGACGAGACAGGAAGTGCTAAAAAAAGAGATGAGCGCAGCGGAAATGTCATGCATCTTCTAATGCTGCTGCCGCCGCCATTGCTCTTGAGGAGTGAATGTGAGCCGTTCCCCTTCATCGGATTGTTGATGATCGGACTTACGATAAAAGTTCACAACTTTTAGAAAATAAAACAATAAAGGTGTGTTTACTGTTCAGAATGTGATCAGCTCCACAGCAGTCTGCGGGGTTTTAGTGCCCCCTAGAGGCGAGGCGAAATCAACGTTCAGGTCCTCGTGCAGGTGTTTGAGGAAGATACATCTACTTAAACAATTTCGCTGCTACCCTTTGAAGCAATAATTTAAAAACTTAAGAGGATGATGACATTTCATATGTTCATCTGTCCTTCTACTCACCCTGAAAAGTTTTTTTTTTCCTCCAGCAGGATTACTCTCCTGCAGAATAAAGAGAGAATAAAGAGTTTTAATGCATTTCCTGAAGACGCTTGAAAAATCAGCTTAGCCCATAAAGCAACATTGTAGAAAAGAAATAATAAACTTCAATCCCGTCGTGAACCTGTTGGATATGCTTCACACTTTACCGGTGTTTTCCTAAAGGTCAAGTTTGGTTTTCTGCACTCTCAGCTTTATTTCTGAATCGTACTAATTTAGCATTTTATTTGGCGTCAACGTGTTATAGGTCACAAACAATTAAGTTTGCCTAACCAATCAATGTTTTCATCTAGCCAAAATACTACTGCTCCTCAGTTTATCAGGTTTTCCTCTTTCACGTTTAGCAGGACAGAATAATGTGTGGTTGCTCACCGTCGACAGAAATAGATCATTGAGCAATGCCACGTTTGCTAAATCCTGCAAATGTGTGGATTTAGCAAGAAAAAGTTATACATTAGGTAAAGAAGTTTTTATTTTCACTAACCATGAAAACATTTACTTAAAAAATTTGGACTCTGTTTCAACACAGTTGGATACAGAAGAGATTACTTGTAGTTGGCAGTTAAACCATTGAAGGAAACACCCATGTTTGTATTCAGGAGTGTAACAGGGATGGTTTTACTCACCTTTGACCTCTCTTAGGAAAACAAGCCACTTCATAAGTCTGCAGATTGCTTCAATGACTATTAAATTTTGCCACTGCGCTTTTAGATCACTGGGTGGAGTGCCGGTTTACGTTTCCAAGCAACTGATCCGGCATTTCTCCAGACTTTAGCTTCACTGGGCAAACTGCCATACAACTCTCCAACCAGTGAGCTCATATTTCTGGGCTTGTTTATACTCACTTATTGATAAACCCATTTTTTTGTTGTTGTTTTATAAACTTATGTGTCATCTTAGTTATATTTATTTCAATATCAAATCATGAGCTACAAGTCTGTACATAACTGGAAAGGAAGATATGTAAAAAAAAAAAAAGACAGTATACACACTAAAGTTTAGATTTGATCTCCTTTTGCGCTCTAGCAATTTTATGCTAACATATTTATGAAATTATAAATATGTTTGTTGAGGAGGTAATGTTTATTTAGGTGTCTGATAAATGGAAATGTCGTTATCGAAGACAACAAAACAATGTTAACTTATTACATGACAAGCCCATTTTATTGTCTTCCATGGATGGAAACAGAAACTGTGTACAGAATGGTAGTCACATGCAATACAAAAATATGGATCTTTACGACAACATAAAAAACATGAATTGGCCCATCCTTAAAAAAACATGTACAGTCTTTTTACAGTGTTTTATACATGAAAAAATATAAATATATATTTACACATCTGAAATAGCCAGAGCAGTACCTAATCAAAAAAATGTTGAAGTATCTTACATATAAAATGTTTTTTTTTTAAATTATTATTATTATTTTTTTTTTTTACAAATTTTAGAAGAACTGTGTTAATTTGCTTTACATTAATTTATGTACATTACATACTACTGGATTTGGAACACAGGTACTGCAATCTCTCACAACAAAACCCTCCAAAAAAACAAAAATAATCCGACACTGAACGCTCACCCAGTTGCACGTGCACCAACAAGATAAAAAAAAACAACAACGAAAAAACAAACACATAAATACCAACAACCCAGCTGAAGCCAGGAGTCACAAAACGATGTACACAAGCGTGCCGAGGAGGTAATTATGGGAGGATTTTGGACACATTCGCATCAGATTCCTGATTGATGCACTTCAACCAAATAGATATTACGTTTTATACCTGTGTAGTTTTGACCTGCTTTCTTTTTACTGTGTAAAGCACACACAGAAACACACACACACACCTCTCACTGACCTGTTCTTGTTTTCAAATGTGTCCCATAAACAGAGATTTAGCAGATTATACGTAAAAAAAAATAGAAGACATACAAGAGAGCACATCACACTGGTCAGTCCTTGAGACTCGTCTGAAAAGAAACTGTAAAAACACAGCAAAAATCACCATGCAAAAGAAAAAAACAACTAAAATATAGCCCAAAAATAAGTTGTTGTTTTTTTTTTTTCTCCTTTTTGACAAAAGTGCATATTGTCTGGGCATGGGGTTAGTGAACAACATGCCGTCACACTAGCCATAAAGAAAAGCGAGGGAGTAGAGGAGGAAGGCAGCTGGTTTGAGAGCATCACTCATGCAGCCTGTCCGACAAGTGTCGAGCCCTCAGGGGGAAAAAAAAACAGAGATAAATGAAGTTGTCCGTTCAGTGATTGGGTCCGTTTTATGTCCAGCAGCGCCTTTTGCTTCGTGTGTTTTCAGGGAGGAGGGAAAAAAAAAAAGTGCCATTTTGTCAGGATCCCAGCGAGAACAGCCACATCATAGCAGCACAGAGAAGGTGAGCAGCCATCAGCAGGCACAGTCAGTCAGTCTCACAGACGCCCAGACTCACAAGCCCAGCAGATGTTTTAGAATCAAGCAAAAAAAAAGAAAAAAAAAAGAAAAGAAAAAGGCAAAGAGATTTTAAAGATGTGTCAAAAGGGAAAAGCAAAAAAAAAAAAAAAAGGGCTCCCTATCTTTCGTATTTCAGTCCCTCGATCCGCTCTTCCAAACAAGAAATACGCCAACGGTTAGACACGGAAGATTGGACTGGGGATTAGTGGAAATGGTGCCCGTTTCAGGCAGAGGCAATGCTTTGATCAACCCTGTAACAGTTAGAGATCCAGGAGCATGCAAGGCAGAACCAGGCTTTGTTTTGCATTGCTTATGTTTCAGAGTGGCTGCTACAACCTGGATTAGACAAAAGAAAAAAGACACACACAAAAAAAAAAAAAACAGGAGAGAGAAAAAAGGGCAAAGGAAATGTTAGATGGTTAGTAAAAGAATCAGGCTGAACAGGAACATTTTGATTAGTCAGAGAAGATCCAGCACATTAAACAGGTAGAGAAGTTCATTAAGACAGCAGGACTTTGTACTTCTCCGTTTTAAGGTATTTTTTCAGCTTATAAAAATTCTAACCTAAAGTGTGAAACCTGTCTTTTAAACCTAGATAGGTGTACAGTGAAGCTCTGGGGTGCTTGAAGCAAAAGCAAAAAGTGTGAAAAAGCAAATTAAAGATGAAAAGCAAAAAAAAACAAAAAAAACAAAAAAAAAAACATTACCATAAAGCTGAGTTGTATACACGTTGCAGATACAATCAGAGTGAACCGAATTCTCTGAATGCTAATGACAAGTTTTACTGCTCAACTTAATATAATCAAAAGTGATTGAAAGATGATGCAATCCTGCTGGTGTGCCTGTAATTCTTGATTTGTTTTTTGTTTTTTTTTTGCATTTTAAATAAACATAATTTACTAAACGTTTCAGCAATTGTGTAAAATGTAAATGCTTTAAAAGTTATATAAAAATGTTAATCTTTTTGTTTTCATTGATGCTGGGAAAATTCTTAGTGAAGCCACCAATACCCGATTCCTGATCTAGATATTTTCTACAGCATTTGTTGTCTTGTTTTAAACAACAATAAATTATTTAAATTTACTGTTTAAAATACACAATAGTTGCTAATTATTCACATTTAATTGTGTCTCAGCTTCAATGAAGACGGGGCTGTATTATGTCCTCCATCTTATATCACTGTTGGTGGTCAGAGTCTGTTCCTGACAGCACGTCTATGCATTTGGAAATACCCTAACCGTTATAGACAGTGGCTGTTTCACCTCAGCAATTGTAAAATAGAAGCACCTCAAACTACTATTAGAAACATCTTTGCTTGAAGAATAAATTAAGCTAAAGGAATTACGTATATACACATCTATGAAACACAAAGTTCACAGCTTATCTAAAAAAAAAAACAAAAGCAAAGAGAATCCGATGGACTAGTTTAAAAAACAAACATACTAACAAATGTTTATTTTTTTGGTTTTTTGTTTTATGCCCCAGCTACAAGTCTGACCAGAGCTCTGCTCCAGTTATGTGTCGTTTATACAGTGTGGCGACAGAAATCATGACTGCTCAGGTCACTGTACCACAGGGAAAACCATAAAAACAAACAAACAAACAAAAAAACAAAAAAACAAAACGTAGAATCTCTGCACGTGTTTTCATGCCCAGTGTCTTCACCTCTGCTCCTGCTGTGGGATACCTACTCTGCAGACTTCCAGAAGTGTCCTGGGTGCGACAGCCTGCGGTTGAGTTTGGGCAGCTTCTCCAGCATGTCGGCCAGCTGAGTGAAGGTCGGCCTATCTCTCGGGTCAAATGCCCAGCAGGCAGAGAGGATCTCCTAACAAAACCAAAATACACTGCTTTAACAGGTTTCTTGACTGCATTAAGTTAAACTGTCTAAACACAATTTGCCAACTCACTGTGACCTCCTTGCCCAGGCTGATCTCCCCCAAAACCTTCTTTATGCCCTCGCCACTCCCCACCTGCCAGATGGTGGCTTCAACAGGCTGGTTAGTGATTGGCCAGTCTCTAGCTTGAAGCTCATACCAAATTGTTCTTAAAAAGAGGAAAGCAGTGATGTAACTAACATTAATCATAACTCCCAGAACCAGGCTGCAGGACTCCAGAGCTTCAACACAACTTACCCAAAGGCATACACGTCCGCTGCTGTTGAAAAGGGAAGGCGATCCTCATTGTTGCCTGGACACATTTTACGCACAATCTCCGGCGCGAGGTAACAAATCCAACCGTGCGGAAGTCTGAGTTTATTCTCACGCCTGAGAAGGAAAAGAAAATCTTCACAGGCATGCCATTTCTTACAGCAATGACTATCTGACAAGCACAAGAGACGGGTGCAGGACTGCCACTGCAGGCCTCAGCAAGTTTTCCAGATCACTGCGGCTCCCTTGGCAACAGCAGCAGCAGAGCAGTGTAAACAGAACGTCAGCTGAGCTTGAGGTTTTAAGGTGGCGGTCCTCACCTCCCCTCCTGAACGACTCCAGAAATCCCAAACAAGCCAAAATCCGTGATCACCACTTTGTTGGTGTCGTGGAAAACATTCTTGGACTTCAGGTCTTTGTGAACGATGCCTTTGGCGTGAAGGTAGCCCATTCCCTATGTCGGATAGTGAGAGATAAGATTATGTGAAAACCTTAAAGTCATCTCCAGTCCAATTAAAACACAGGATTAACCCTATGATAAAGTGTTTGAGCAGCAACAATAAAACAGAGAACATAATTGGAAAAACATTTGTATTGTTTTGCATGGCAAATGGATTGAATTTATATTGTGCCTGTCTAGTCATGCTAACTACTCAGGTACTGCATGTTCACTAAGTAACATGCAGTAATGCAGCACCTCCCTCCCTTTCATATTCAGTTGCTGCACACTGCCAGTCTGCAGTCTGAAAGATGGTTTCAAAAATTGTCCCCTTACTCACCAGACAGACATATTCAGTTATTGGAAACACATCTGCCTTTAGACGGTAACTGACTGGAAACTAACGAACAACACTCTTGTTTTAGGGTGCAGATCATTTAAAAATGGTGTCATTGTATTGAGCTATAAGCAGCTGTTGAGTTAATAACTGTGGGTTGTCTGCTAAGTAAAAAAAAAAAAAAAAAAAAAAAAAAAATGGGTTTTAAAAGAAGAGAAATTTTGGTTTTATTTCTTTGTTATCAAGTTTTGTTTAAAAAATATATAAAAGTTATAATTAGTATTTATTTTGTTAGATTATTTTGTATCAGGAGAAATAATTGACTTAAGAGATCACTAAGGACAAACAAAAGGGTTTTGGCAGGAAGTGACACTGAACATGACACAAAACAAAATACCTTTACAATCTCCTGAGCGATTTGCCTCGTTTTATTGATATCCAAATTATTTTTGGTGTCCCGGACAACTGAGTACAGTGTCCTTCCTTTACAGAAACTACAGGAGGAAAAGAAGGAAAAGATTACACAAATGAAGCAGCGACCCAACTTGAGGTGCGTTTGGTTTATCTGCTCTTACCTGGTGATGATGGCTAAGTGGGGTGGAGCCATGCAAGCCCCCATGAAGAGGACTACATTCTCGTGTCTGGTCTGTCTGTAGTTCATCACCTCCTTCTTAAAGAGCTTCAGATGATCCTGATTGTTTCCATCAATCTCAAGAAGTCTGATGGCGACCTCGCCGTGCCACCGACCCTTGTGTACTCGACCCCAGCGACCCTGATCGACAGAAACGCAAAAAAACTCAGGACATTTACCTTCTCACACTCGCGTCGATAACACCGTTTTGGTGAATCCTCACCTTTCCGATGAGCTCGCCGAGATCCAGCTGCTCAAAGGGAATGTCCCACTCCTGCAGGTACACGCTCGTCTGGCTGGGCTTGCGGGATATGGGGCCCTTCCACTGGTTTCCACGAGAGCATGGCAGATCATCCAGCTCGTCGCACTCACCGTCTGAGCCGATGTTCCCCATCATTCCCTCCCTGTCCTCCTCGTATTCCCCTCCGTGGTCATCTCTGTCGTCCTCGTCATTCTCCTCCTCCGCTTCGGGATCTTCATCTTCATCCTCAATGTTCTCATCCCCTTCCTGAAATCAGGCAGCAAGAGATTGGTTTGTGCACAAAAAAGATATATATATATAGATAAAAAAATTAAATCTAAAAGCATGTTGTAGCATTACCTCTTCATCTTCATCCTCAACCAGCTCATTGTGAGTATCATCTGCTGACTGTTCTACCTCACTGCTGCAAAAAAAATGTATACATTATCATCAGAGGTGCAACTGAAGAATACATATTTAAACGTTTAAATTAAATCTAGTAAAGTACAACTTACGCTGTGTCTTGGAGGACATCAGAGCACACATTTGTAGGACTGCAAACATCTACAGAGAACAGCATAACACCCTTTAAATGATTCAATAGCTATCCCACCAAACAGATCATGCGATTCTTCAACGTCTCCAGCAGATGGTGTCAAAATGCAGCTAAGAGCCAGAGAGAGGAGGCGGCTACACTTACAGCTAACAACTCCACAGAAATCATGCAGGAGGAAGAGAGAGCTGCGAGAATCTAATGGTTATGGAGTGGTGCGATGGCGTAACAAGTACTCGGTGTGTCACTATGGGACAGTCAACTCACCGGGGAAGATAAACTGCTGCCTATGCTGAAAATAATACGCAGCTTTTGTGGAAAAATACGGAGAGGGGAAAGACAGCATAGCAGGAGAGATTCTGGGTTAGTGAAGCTTTTGGTTAGGAGACCATCATGAAAGCACAGATCAGTGTTAAAGTCTCTGCAGGAGTCAGAAAAGGGTGCATGAGGCCATTAACATTATTATTATTACTATTCAAGAAGGAAAAAAAATGAGCTTAAATGGATTGAAAAAGCAGAAATAATCACTTTAAGCTTCTGGATTTGTACGTGTTCGTCAGGAGCTTTGCGGTCAGGTTTACCTGGAAAGTTAAATCGGCTGTCTCTGTGTCCTTTGGGCGAAGGGTTAGGTGGTGGCGTGGCACTCGGAGGATTGCTCTGCTGGAAGGGAGCAGGGGAGGAAGGAGTGGATGAAGTGGTGGAGGATGGGTTGCTGCTCGAGTCCATCTGGTTCATGACAGGGGGATGATCCTGATGAGACGCAGGTTCCAAGAAAAATAAAGTTTACTCAATCAGTGCATCACTGCTTTCCACTGTAGATTACTAAAGGAGCTCATAAGAGCCAGATTTCATTTCCTGGAGGCATTATTACAGTAAAAATGGCTAAAGAGCTGTCATTGCTCCACTTTACAGCAGGACAAATGAGCAGATGGTGGAACTGAGTGGGGAAAAAAAAGTTTTCTCACTTATACAAAAAAAAATGTAGCATTTATTTAACAGGAACGACTGAGAATTACACCTCTTAGTCTAGCACTTGAGTGGCACTTGCATTATTAACAGAGGAATAAAAAAAAACTGCATAGCCTTGAATAAGTATTCACACTGATTATGTAAACGCAATTTTTAATGTATTTTCCAAGATTTTTACGTGGCGGATTAAAAAAAAAAGGCTGCGCATAGGACAGGAAAACATAAGCTTAAAATTTTCTTTACAAATAAATGTTTAGTTTTGTGTTTTCATAATGCCCCCAAGAATACCTTACACAGCCACCTTTCTGCAGCAGCTTTTAGAATAAATTGGACTTTAACTGGACCATTCAAACACATAAATATACTTTCATGCAAACCATTTTATTGAAGCTTTGTATGCTTACGGTTGTTGTCCTCAACCACATTCTCAACTGTTTTGCAGCTTCTATCAGGTTTCCTGAGAGGGTTAACTTATAGTTAGATGCATTCGGGGTTGAAGTGAAGTCACACATAAAAGTTTTGCATGCAGGAAAAACAAGATGCATCTTGGTAACATCTGAGGAAACCCCTCAGGGCTTAACAGAACAGCTGCAATTATGCTGAGGCAAAATAACACAAAGGTGGACTTAATAGTATTTATTAATTAGGTTACTTGTAGAGACAGTTGGACTGTATTTGGGGGTATCGTATTAAAAGTTCAAAATCATTTTACTTCCATTTCACATTTATATGGTAGTCCTTGTTGGTCTCTCTCATAAAGCAAATCAAACTGAGGTTAGTGGTAATAAGAAAAATGTGAAAAGGTGTTAGGTATTTTGTATATTAAAGCATTTCTTTACCTTTTTTGTAATGGCCTTTGGTAATGTACCAAACTGAGGAGCTTCTTGTGGTCGGTCCACAGGGTTGTTTATATCAGAAGGAACAGACTCGGTCCTCCTAATTTTGGCAACTGCAGAACACAATTATTTTCACACGGGGCCTATATCAGATATTTGTAGGGAGGAAAATTTTAAGCATGAAAAAAACGTACTTGGTAGAAAGGAGATTCTGCAGGACGGAGCCTCCTTTGTGCATTTGTTGTGGCACTTTAACCTGCAAGGACAGTAGGCAACACATGGGTAGCTTGGTAGCAATTAGCATTTAGCACCAATAGAGCTCCTCAAGTCCAGATCAAGATTAAGTCAAGCCATCACAGCCCTCTACTACGAAGCAGGATTAATAGCTTACTAAGGTAACTTCAAGTTCAACACAAGGTTTTATTTGGGGTCATGAAGCTGCCGCGTTTCTTTAATGCATTTCTTTAAAGAAATGAACTTGCACTGGAAGTCTAACCTGCTTCAGAACAAGTTTGGTTAGCCTCTTATGCCAGACTATAGATGATTCCAGTGTGTTTTGTTACATGTATGTAAATGTGCTTGGTTGGAATTAGTAACAATGGAGTAGCCTGAATGAGAGACTGATGACTCACTGTTTTCTCCTCCAGTACACGTGAGTGCAAGTTTCGTACTCCTCCAACTGCATATTTGTATGCATACATCCAACTTAAAAAATGTTTCTTGAAATTAATGAAACATCACTGGATGGTGAGTAAATAAGAAATAGAAAAGTAATGATAGGATAAGTATAGAGAATATTTATGTACCAAGAAATAAGATGGTGAACCATATTATTCAGTTATGCTTCAGTGCTATACGCCAAGGTTAACTTTATGTATTTGACAATCTGAAATTGGTTTTAAAGCATGTATCTGGACTTTAGCTGTAATACTTTTTTTTTTTTATTTTCCCCAATTTCTATACTAGTATTTTTTTCTCTTACGAACATGATCTGATAAATAATTTTTCTTTGTCTGCACTGTTTGGCCTTTACGTTACGCTTCCAGGTTTAGCAGACAGTAGACAGACTAGAAAGTATGAATTAGGCCTCATTAACTCAGAGACCAGCGATGACATATCATTTAGAATAATCTCAATTATTCAGACAAACTGACTAGTGTGTACAGAAATCTTCTCTGCAAAATGATATTTGTTCTTGTGCCTTTATTCATTTAATCAGCTTTTAACCAAGAAACGTTACCCTCTATGTATTGTCTTTGCACCATTTAAAAAAAATTAATACTTTATGTAATTTGAAGATAGTTGAACTGTATTTATTTGCCTTCCATCTTTTTAACATTATTTCAAATAAAAATACAATTTTTACAAAAATTTATTGTGAAATTTTAAAATTTCAAAATAAAATAAATTTTTATTTCAAATAAAAATAAAATTTTTAAATAAAATTTGAAGTCAAATTTTATTTGTCGACTTACCGACAGTGTTTGCATTTAACACCAAACATCATGTTCTTCTGACACACTTGACATGTCTGGGATAACCAGGACTTGGTCGAAAACCTACAAATGACAAAGTCAGGTCATGTCATTCCTGCACTATCAGTGCATTGAATTGCTATTTGCAAGTAGGAAACACAGCTGACTTTCTTCAGTGACAGAAGTTTGTGAGAAAGGACAACAAAAAGGTGTACCTGTGCGTGACGGCTAGACCGATGTCCCTCCTGACTGCTTTTGGGGAGCTGCGGTGCAACGCTAAGTTATCTAGGCAGGCAAGCAGATGGAAGACAGGAAGATCAACAACATGCTTGAGATATGCTGTGGTGGTTCTGCTTTGTCTTTATCTTAAATACACGAAAATACATTTAACATAGATTTTTGTAGACATTTTTTTTAATTTAAAAAAAGCACATGACCCACTCTTAATTATGCTGTGCTCCTCAATTAGCGTGGGTGTCCCTGGGAGGGTGTAAGGTGCGGTGTTGGGAGCTGGCGTCCCTCCAGGGGTCCGTGCGGGCTTGACTGGATACCGAGAAGGCGAGTCCTCACATCCATTCCCATTCACTTGCATGTTCAGCAATAATTTGTTCTTTTTACCACACCTGAAAGGTAAAAAGATAAAAAAAAAAAGAATAATATCAGCAGATGCAGTTTTACTGGTATCAAGTAGTGTGACACCTTTGAAGGTCTACAGCGTCGCTTGAGTTCTTTACAGCACGAGGCAGGTTATGTAAGCTGTGCAAGGAGCCACGCTGGAGCACCTTAATAGAACTGGCACAATGACAATAGTGGCATCCTTAACACCCACATGGAGGTCACAAGAAGAGCACCAAGCTGTTCCAGACCTGTGATCTGGCCGCACATGTAATCACACGAGAGGAAAGACAGCTGGGAAAGAACAAACTAACATTTTGTATCTGAACACACATCTCTGCTCAATGCAGTAGTTCTCTTGAACATTTTTCCCCCCCTTGATAAAACATTCCATAAAGCAACAGGATATTGTAGATAATCTTGTGGCTTGTTTGTGTATCTACACTCAATCACAACACAGAGCAAGTGGGGAGTGGGGGGCTGGGGGGGGGAAACAGCGATTGAGTGCGCTGCCACCCCTGAGCATTTAGGATTTAGGAAATGCTTCCTGTTTTGACATGACTCATAATCTCTGGGAATTTGTTTGGGATTAGCTCCCTTCAAACAGTAAGAGAAAAAGGAGCAACAGGCAGGATGTGAAAGGATGCTGCACAGGGAAGGCGAGGGGATCAAAGCAAAGCTCTGCCCGAGTCTTAAAACAGACTAATTCATTATTTGAGAGAGAGACAATAAGCAAATATGTCACACTGGTGACATTGTACCAAATTCTACTCTAACCAATGAGCTGACATAAGAATTAACAACAAACTCATCAGAAATGGCAAAATGACATGCATCATTCCTAAAACTAGAACTACTTCTAAATATTACTTATTAATACTTAAACTTCAGTTCATTGCTTAAAAATAAACAGCAGTATTTGTGTTGAGAGAGAATCATTATCATTTATCCATAAAGAATCCTGAAAAAATTCTAAAGATTCTATAAAATATATAGAGAATTTATTTGAATTTAATATGAACTAAAATGGAGATTCTCAAATATAAATGGGAGATTTGTTTAAAAAAAAAATACATGCAGATGCATCCATTTATCTCACTTTTAAACAGTGAAAAAATAAACATGTTTTTCAAAACACTTTCTGGCCAATACCGATTTCTGCTTTTGTTTAAAGTTTAAACTGCTCATTCCGATTTTGATTACTTCAGTCTTTTTTTTTTCCAGAAGTTTAAACACATTAAAGAAAAAAGAAAAAATGATTGCTGAAGTCTAACCTGCTTCAGAACTAGTTTGGTTAGCCTCTTATGCTAACCAAACTTGTTAATTGCTTGTTTATTGCATTTAAGTAGTGGTTACATCCTCACCCCCCCCCGCCCCACAAAAAAATGAGGGAATCATAAAATTATTTATATTTACATATCAAAACATAGTACCCAAACTCAAAAAAATATATACATTCAAGTGTATATTGTTGGTTAATTTATTTGAGGACAGAAAGTGGGGGAAGGCCAAAGTTCAGATGAAGTTGATGTACAGGAAAAAAAATAGGCTATGCAGGTATTGGACTTATCAATCACCAATTAGAGATGATCGACAATTGGTTGACTCCAAATTGATTGGTGGACGTCCAATAAAAAATGTAATCTTTTAATCATATTAGATCTTCAGTTCATGTCCTCATACCCAAACAGACAAATTTATTTACAATTTAAAATGTTAAAATAGTTTGGTGATTAATTCAATGCAAGCAAACTTCAAGGTTTAAATTCATTGATAGGATCATAGTTTGGTTTCCTCCTTTACTATTGTTTCCCACAGCATGACAGCCATCTCACGTTAGCATCCTGTGAATGCTAACAATTACATGTCATCGACGGTGAAATTTCACCATCACCTAACAGATTTTAACGTGGACGGTGAGTTGAGAACGGCACCTACTTGTTGTTGGGGGGATCCTCGATGCGATTGCCCAGCTGGGACTCGTGGCTCTTGCTGCGTGTCAGAGTGATGTTGGGGAGCAGATGCAGAACCTTGCGGGACGGAGGTGGAGGAGTGCAAGGGGGCTTCAGTTTCTGTCGCCTATTTGAGGGTGGGGTTACAGGCGGGGTGGAGGTGTGCCCGTGGAGGCGGGTTGTGCGTGGCCGAGGCATGGGGAACAGATCTGTGAGGGGACTGTCGCCATGGCCGTATGATCCCAGCCCATCCGGTGTGGCTGCTGCTGAAACAGAACCAGAACGGGGATGATGGAAGGTAGCAGAGGGGGTGGATGGCGTGGACTGGATGGTGGAGGGGCGGGCTAGAGGCGATGGACTGTGGGGGCGCAGGGGAGTTCCCAGGAAAGGCAGCTGGTCTGCCGTTAGTAGAGAGCCACTGTCCCTCCTGGTGGACTCAGACAGCCAGGAAACACCATCCTCTTTCATTTCGCCTCCTGTAAAACAAACAAAAAAAACAATTAGAAGAAAGCCCAAAGCTTATATACAGATTGTTCAATCAGGGGGCAACATTAGTGATAAAACATACCTGATTCAGTGGCACTCTTTAGACAGGAGAGGGCAGCACCAAGTCTAGCACATTCTTCTGAACTGGACCCCAGTCTTCTCATCGCATCTCTCACCTGAGCTCCGGTCATCTGCAGTAATGTGTCCAAGGACAACTTTGTCTCTACCCCCTGCAGAAAAGGGATGAAAACAAACAGATGGCTGGGAGTCAGTGATGGTACAGAGTGAGGATGACAGCAAATTATTAGATGCATAACTGAGAAGAGGGATTTACAGGACGAGAGGGAAAAAAAGAGAGACTACTCCTTGGCCTGAAAAAAGAAACAATATTACAAAACTAAGTTTGTAATTTAAACAGATTCTTACAGTTCCTATATTTTATAAAACCCCGTCCGATTTGCACACAATTCTGTCCATTCTTAATTTTTAGATTAAGTAGTATTAGAAATAATTCAGACATTCTACATAAGTGGATATGAATTGGACCTATTTTGTCTTTATCATAAAAGTTTTCATAAACATGCGTTACATAGATTACTTTATGAAATAAATGAACAGTCGGCACACATAGATAAGATAAAAGTAGACAAAGTATCATATATCACCAAATGCCTGGAAATAAGAACAGATAAAGTCAAAGTCATGAGTCCAGTATGTGGCGAATTTTCAAAATTATAGCCAGAACTGGACTTGCACACAGGATAATGTGCAATGCTTTACAGACACACAGGTAGTGTTGCAGTGTTAAACTGTTAGTGTCCATTTGCTAGATTTGGGAGATTCAGCAACTTTGTAGTGGCCCTGCAAGTGCAAATGAGTTAAGGTTTCCTCTTAGAGTCAGAATTAGGCTCAGGTTGAGTCAATAAAATGGATCATATTGATTGATCATGATACTGATCATGTTGATTTAAATATCAAGATTTACTCAGATATACAGAGATTAAAATATGATCTCTAGAAAAAAAATAGCAAGTGAAGATTTGAATCTAACAGAAAGTGAAGGGTTACAGGATTATGTGCTTGTATGCATTAAAGAACACGTACCTAACCATCTGGTTTCATTAAACTCAAAAACAAAGTGCATCAAAGCACATGCTCTTTGATGGCGTGTATACAGACAGATAAAAGGTTCAAGTTTGATGCAATTAGTGAAAAGAAGAAAAAAAAAACTGTAATCACCAGTTATCAATCAGACTTGTTCAAGGGAAAATTACTCGCATTTTGGTGGTTCTAACAAGTGTTTGCAACAGCAAAACATCACCTTTAAATTATTAAAGCATGACAACCTATTTTATTGTATTTTATCATTATAGCAAAGAATTACTCAAAGAAACTGTAGAACGACAACTTCAATGCAACACTGTATATGTACCGCTTCTTTTATGGGGGCAAAAATAGCAATACAAACAACACTTAGGACCTTGTCCAGCATATTTAGGATGTTTTTTTTTTTTTTTTCTTTACATAGGAAGTGCGTAAACACTTATCAGTCAGGTTAAAGCCTTTGCTCTGAGAGGGCAAACACTGATCACAAAACTAGGGCAACCTCCCACACTCGTGTGTACACTGTAAGCAAAATGAAGAGCACACAGGCGGATGTGCAAAAAAAAAAAAAAAACACCAGCAAGGATGAGAGATGGGAGAATTAAAAGTGGCCATGAGCTTGCCTCTCCTTCAAATACATAACAAAATTATATAATGTAGCTACATAAATCCATCTTCCCGCTTTAAATGTAATTACTGTTCAGAAGAAGTGTAGGGAAACATGGGCCCTTTTTACACTTCAGGTGCACACAACTCAAATTGATAAGCGGCTACAGAAATGGGGAAGCATTTGTAATCTTCATTTAGAAGGCCACTCTGGGTTAATAAATGTTACTAATTCACAGAGAAAGCATTTAGGAAGGCAGGCACCAGGAGTCACTCAGGCCTGTCATGGACTCACTTCCTGTAAGCTGAAGCGTGGGAGCAGAGATGCTGGATTCCATAAATAAAGTAAAAACCATCAGAGGATTTTTGGACCACCCATTACATAATGCAGCCCTCATCGTACAAGCCAAGGAGAGGCACTGTACAAATCTCAGTCTGATAATGTGCAACGCTTTAAGTGGGTCAGCATCATGCCGTGACAGCATCATGTGACATCAACAAGCACCTTTTATACCAGGAGAAAACTGCAGTCCCTTGCAAAAGTACTCGTGAATATCTGAACTTTACACATTTCTTTTTAACAATTACAAACTCCTATTTTATATCTGTAATGATAATTTCTTCCCATAACTGCACAAAACACTTCACAGGTCTCTGACTCATTTAGCAATCTTAGACGTTCATGTTTAGACTAGTTATTAAGTAAAAAAAAAAAAAAATGTCATGCCTGCTCTGATCAGGAGGATAGTTGTTAATGTCTTCAGTTAAGAAAACGAGATGAAATCGAACGTCAAATAAATCGGATAGATTTCAATGCCTGCACAAATATCAAAAACTCCACCCGATTAAAAAAAAAAAAAAAAAAAAAAAAAAAAAACTGGGACAAGTCCCAGAAAGCTTCCATCAAGACAAGAGGCTTGAACAAATATTAACTTTTGGGACATTCCTTATACACTTGAAGAAGCATTTGTTAGTCCAGCAACCGTGGAATCAACTTCAGAGCGACAGCCTGCTGGACACTAGCTTATTGTGCAGTCAAGATGAAAATATCAAACATTTTACAGGACTCTGACAATGGCTTTCCTTCTATTAGTCTGAAGCCATATTTTTAAAGCCCTATTAAATTTAAATTGGCATTTTTGGGTTGATGTGCAGAGCAGACAATACGGTCCACTTTTCCATCCTAGAGCACTGATCAGGCATTCCTCGTGCACACGAGAACGGGGCAAAGAGTACACACACTGGACACATATTGGTGTGACACACACAGAGCACACCGCTTTACACCAGCCAGAATAGACTGGCAGTCGTACAGAACGACTTGGCGTACCTGGATGAGCTCTGGTCGCAGGTTGACGGTGCGCAGCCAGTCCCGTAAGCGCGGGTAGCTGTCCAGGGCCTCGGGCCTCTCCGTGTCTGGGACCTTCCTTTTACACTGCAGCTGTTTACAGATGTATTTCATCAGCTTTACCTGCAGGGAGCAACAGAGAGGATATGACAGAGAAGGGAGGGGCAGGTCAGAAGGGAACGCTCACTTTTTCCCCTTTGCTCTGAAGGGTCATTTGCCCTTTAGATAAATTTTTTTTTTTTTCAAAGATAGCATAAAACTGAGGAGTCACTGATGACGTGTGAAATGACACACGCAGATCTGACCGATATTTTCCATCAACACATGCTCCTCTAATTTCAATAAAGCCACATAAAGGAACCACTCAAAGATATGTTTCCATTCCCACTCATATACGACGTTACAAATTATATTTAAAAAAAAAAGTTACATACTCCCCACATCATGATTCTGCCACCATCATGAGTTATCTGAATGGTGTGTCAATTTTTTTCTGCATATATAAACCAAAAACGTAAACTATACAAACCTCTGTGGCGTGTGGAAAACTCTGAAAGCAATTTCTAATTACTTTCTTTGAACAACAGCTTTCTTCTTGCCACTCTCCTAAATATTCATTTAACACTGAGGCCTTTACAGGATGGTTGAAATTATACAAATATTTTGAAATCGATCATTTTTCTCCCACTTCACAATAATTTGCCGCTATTGCTAAAACACAATCCAATTTGTAGTTGTAACAAGACAAAAAACCAAGGGCACGAAAGGCGTATCAATAATTTTGCAAGGCAGTCCATATCTGCTAATCACTGTGTTCTTCACTCAAATCTACTTTTAATCTGTGCTGAAGTTTCAGGTGACAATAGACATAAGAACCTCGCTGTGTTCAAAAGCGTATATAAATCATCCTGTTGGAGTCTTATTCTCGCCTTTAAAAAGAAAAAAAAGAAAAACCTGTGGTACTTTAATGCTTTCATGTCAAGTGCAGCGGTCCGTTCTGCGAGTATTACAATGAACGCCGCGGTGTTGGTTTGCAGCAGCCTGCATTGTGCAGCTCACCATGACTGTATAGTGTATCCTTATCTCGCTGTCTATCTGAAAAGAGTCCATTACAGCAGGCAGCACCTTCAGATGAGCTGAGCAGCACCGGCTAGCTTGCATCTCGGCAAGTACCTTTTGAGGGTCTGGGGGGGAGGAGGGGGGACAACAATGGTGAGCGATATGCGTCTTTCTCCGCACATTCAAACACACCGGTGACAAATCCACTTGTCAGCCAAACAGAAAACCAGCGCAGCCTTGCACAGCTCGGAAAATGTGGCCTTGGGTGGTGAAAAAAAAAAAAGGCTGCGAATAAAAGCTTCTCAACTGGAGTATGAAAAGGCTACAGAGAAGAGGAAGATGGAGAGGATGTAATTGCTCTACGTGTTGACCCTCACCCTGATCTTCAGCTCTGCTCTCATTCATCAATTATCAGCTGCAGATAGTTCATTTGAAAGTAATCACAGGAAATACTAAAAAAAGCCTTACTCTCAAACAGCTTGCAAGGGCAATGCCATGAAAGCTCATTGGTCAAGATGAAAAAAGATAAACACAAACTTTAATGCGATGTTAAGTTCTGATGAATTTTAACCTTCATAATTCACATTCAAACATATTACCTGTGATCTAATTGCATATTTCAGATTGCTGTGGTGTTTCTCATATCTGGCCTGGTGTGATCAAACAACAGGAGGCGTTTACTCAGTTTGGCTAATGAGCTCCTTCTTTACCTCCCTATACACTAGTGCAGCACAGTGACGTCAGGTTACCTAGCAACCCCTCTTCTGAGTCGTCAGCAACATTTCAGTGGGATTTTCCCATACAAGTGAAACACAGCTTAAAAGAACACTTCTCGGTAAATAATGCGGCCATAGGAAACAGCGGCGGAGGTCACAGAGTGCGGCGAGGAGGCTTGAGTGCCGTCTCTCACTCTGCCTGACAGGGACCTAAAGAACAGTGAGATGAATGAGGATTACACAAGCACCAGTCCCCAGATCCTGCACTGATATGGGCAACGAGCGTGGCTCTGTTGGAAGCGCAGTCGGGCACACCAGCAAACCGGCACATAATCACAGCCCCCCCTTTGCATTTTATTTTTGGTGCAGAGCGGAGAAAACAGCACTTGACGTCTGGCCTGGAGGTGGGAGGTGGGGGAGGAGAGATGGCGTCAGAGCCCACCTGTCAGCCGAGCCAAACACCACCATGGAAACGGCCTAATGCTGTGCAGAAGATGAGTGACAGCCACCAGAGAGGAGAGCAGGGAAGGGGGCGGAGGGGGAGGAGTCCAGTCAGCGGTCCGGCCTGACACAGCAGACTTGGGGAGCTGATCCCACCGCCTTGGTTGTTTTCTCAAGCCTCTTGTTGACACAGGCACTTTGGTGCACCTGCCAAGGATAGCATGGCCTATCTGAGAACTGAGCAGCCATGCTCAACCCCACAAAAATGATATTTACATAGGAAGGTCAGCTTATTTTCTCCCCACTCTAAAACACGCACGCGCATACTAAGCATGAGATCTTCAATGTATGCTAACAGAGTCATGGTCACGGTATTAACAGCAAGCTTAAAACAAGAATGCTCGATCCACAACAAGAAAAGGTGACAATTATTCCTACTGTGGTAAGACAACATGCTGATAACACAATCCTAAGAATGTTATCTATTAAAATTATTTCCTAACTTTTTCTTTTTTTGATACACAAACAGTTCTGAATTTTCACACAGGAAAGACTTGCACATTCTCCTGAGGAACCACGAAATTTGGTTGCATACTCAATGTTGCAAAAGCAAAACAGATATTCGTTATGACGAACTGAAATCCAGAACTCCTAGGCCAGCTTAACTATAGGACACAAGAAAAATGTTCTACTTGGAGGATGTGACGTTTAAATGAGGGAAAGGCCAGCTAAGAAAAAAGTGTGAAGCAACTAGTGGGGGAAGGGCATCACTACTAGTGCAGTCACAAACTGCAGTCACTCTGGGACTTTCTGAGGGATTTCACACGCAAGTACACCCCTGAGAGTAACCTTAAAATTTTGGTATACGTATGTATCAGTATCACCCCATGTAAAAGGCATAATATAAGAATTAATTAAAGATATCCATTAAATATCTTAAGACCGTTAATAAATTAGCCATATGGGAAAATCAGATTATTACAATCCTTTGTCGTACTTCATTCTTCAAATATTTTCTTGCTTTTGGTTGTAACTGGTTAGATTAAGCAAATTTTAACCTTAAGGGCAATATTTAAAAACAAAATCATGGAAGTACAGTATGGTAACTTTGCCAACACAAAAAAGAGGATGTTAAAAAAAAGGGAAAAAAAAAACAAAACAGGACAGCAAATTCAGTTATGGTGAGGTCATGTCATCAGAAGGCCAAGGTCTGTTGGGGATCAATGGCTGACAGCCAAAGACAATAGCTGACTGCTCCTCCTCCCTTCTTGCTGCTAGTAGAACAAGCTGATGCTGGATTGGGAGAGGGTGGTCAGGATGCATCAAACTGACTGTGTAGATAATAAATTCATGTCCAGACTTGGACAATTGCAGAATACAAATGAGGTCATTCCAAATCAACTTCATGATGACGCATCTCAGGCCTTTGCTGGATTTTTTTCCCCCTCTTCACTTTTAGACACTGCTTTGCAGATTATCATTTCTTTAGGCTTAGCACTCCCTTCATCCACCATGTGTTTATGGTGATTTTTTTTTTAGATAAAATTATTAAGACATAAGCGGTGGACTAAAAACTACATATGCGCTTTCAACTGATTTGTAGCTAGATCAAGCAGATCCTTGGTTGCCCACAATGAGCAAATCAGGCCTCAAAATTACAGGATGCAATGCAACTCATCCTGAGTCAGGTCAGGAATAGATCATGGCATGCCCACATGGCCAAACGATTCTGCTTTTTACATGATGCAGCCTATTCTTATTGGCTACACCTCCATTACAGTAAAAGAGAGGGGAAAAACACCCTAAAGGAAACAGAGTCAGGGTTAGTGCTGATAGTCACCAGAGCTGTATTTCCTCTACACCCTGGTGTCTACCTCTGTCTACTTCTACGGCTCTGACAGACACAGCGACACAAGCAGCGGTTGTCATGTCACGGGAGGCGGCCCAGGCGATTGGCTTTGATTCTCCCCTCCCCTTTCCTGCCTGCTCTCTCCTATCGCAGAGCCTCTTTGCGCGTCATTTGATTTTCTTATTTAACAACCAACCCTGAAAATGCGTAGGAAGACAGATGTCTAAATATAGACACAGCCACAACAGCTTGCACGACGAGCACACAGCAAACTCTCCCCCCAACAGCATGAGGAGACAAAACAGAGTGACGCGTTTTGCTGTTAGCTGATCATTACAGGAAAAAAGGAAGAAGAAGAAAAAGACGAGCTCCTGAAGGATACCTCACAACATTTATTTAGGGAGGTGCAAAAATACCGCAGCTATTTCTGTGCATTTGATCATGTAGTTTGAAAACATGCAAGTTGCTGAGGCAGTGCTAAAGGACGTGATGAAACTGCAGTCAGGAGTATAAAGAGCTGCAGTTAAGAGTAACACAGAGGCAGCATGAGAGGCAGACAGAGACCGAGCTGAGTGGGATTAATATGTGAAAAGTGAAGTACCAGTTAGCACTCCATTTGAGAGGGGCCAGTATCATTATCCTCTCACAGGCAAAGACAGAAAAAACACATACGGTTCAAGAGGAACAATAAAGCTCGCCCCGATGAGAGAATAAAGCCAGTTCAAGCCGCCCTTGATTGCACTCCAGTGCAATATTGGAACGATAACCCTAAGCACCACAGAGTGAGGCAACTTCTGACCTTAGACACGTCGAGCAAATTCTGTGTCTGAATTAGCAGCCTTGGTAGTAATTACATCTGCCCTGCTACGATCACGTCTGACTAACTGAGATATAAAAACAATGTCTATATATAAATGCAACCTCTTTAACATATGCAAAAGAAGAGCAGTTGCTAGAAGTCTCAAGAGTGAAGCGGAAGAGAACATCCTTGTTCTCAAGATTTGCAGCAAACATAAAAACTACATCTACATGCACAGGAATTCATCCTAAAACTTAGCGTTAACCGTCGTGCCTCTGGCAAATAAGGAATGTGATAAAACAATTCTCAGGGAAGGCTAAATCAAGAAGTGAAAGTAAAGTCTGTTAGCAAGTTGCAAAACAGTGTGCCAGTAAAGACAAAGGAAGTAAGGCAGTTGATTTTCAAAGGAACCCAAGCCCCCCACAATCAACAGAAATAAAGAAATTGTTGCCAAACTTCTTAAATATCTTGATGATGATCCCAATTATGACTTTGTTGGATTTAGGTACTTACCATTTACTCATATCATCTTTTCTCTTGTTTTGTTCCTAAAGTTTAAAGTCATTTCAACTAGATGCCACAGAAAGTGCCTGGTGAGCATAGTGAAACACAATGCCTCCCCCACTGTGCATCGCCATTTACCATATGAACGTGCAAATTACAATATCATTTGCACAATTATTATGAACATACATTTGCTGAATGGAAACATGTCAATTTAAAAAAAAAAAGAAAAGTTTTTGCGCTAAGATGAGGAGGATTTTCAGGTATATTGAAATTAGTGTGTTTTGCAAAGCTGCAGTGGAAGCACTTCTTTCGCATCACAAGAGTCACATGATCTACAGCTGGATGTTACTACTGGCATAAAAGATGAAGAGGACGAATGGCTGTAGTAGAAGGAGGATGATGGTGTGGCATGTTTATTAATGACTTTTTGCTTGAACAAATTTATTCATGTGTGATTTTAATTGTATGTTTTTATTTAATGCAAGTACTACAAGTGCAAAATTGTGTTATTTTAACTTTAGAGGAATATCAATATTGTGCACATTTATAATGGAAATGCAGCTTATGACACTTTTCCTTCCTTCAAAAATTGAGGAATATTTATGACGTGGAAACCAAAGAAGTACAACCTATCAATATGGTCACACTGTAAGGCAATGCTGTTTTAGAGCTGCAATATATAACTTTTATTTAAAAAAAAAAAATTACATATTTGTTCCATGTCCTAACAGCATAATATGACAAATAATCTATATAAAAAAATCAAGCTCTTCTGCCTTCCCCTTGTGCTCCTACAGCCATCTGCAGAAATACACCAGTCGGTCAGAAGCAACCAATCAGAGCTGAGAGAAGGTCTTAGCTTTCCCTCTGGCTAAGACCTTACAAACATGCCGAGTAAATGGCTAGCTATAACCTTTCTTTCTTCTAGGTTACATCTAGCTCGTCACAACGGAGCCTGTCGCGAATGCTCAGGCCACCAATGACGGCGGATAAACAGTTTTCCTGGAATGGCAAGTTGTTCCTCTGCTATTAGCACATTGAGAAGGAAATATCAAGAGTGACTAACAGTGCTAAGACAAAAAAATACGTAAAGAAAAAAAAACAAAACAAAACAAGCATTGTGTGTAAAAGTTACACACTGTAGCTTCAAATTACAGTTGACAAGCAGCTATCTTTAGGCTGGCTACTTGCACAGTTAGCCCGGCTAACTAATCAGCTAATATCATCTTGTTCTACTTGTGTTATTCTATGAAGAACAGAACAGCAAAAGGATTTTACTGACGGCAGTTAAAGGTAATGTTTTGCAAATTAACAAGATTTTGATGCAATGATAACAGCTTCTCAGCAAGAAGTTTGTGTACATTTCACAAAATTTTGCAAGTTTTTAAAACCCTTTTTCTGATGCTCTCTCTATAGTTTTATGTTGTTATTAACTTATGTAAACAGTTGTTACCTTCCTTGTTATTGTGCAGAAAAGATTGAGTCAAATAAGATGACATTTTATCATCACTGTAATTTCACTAAGAACTGTTTATACAGAGTGATGTGGTTAAAAACTGGAGGAAAAAAAATATGCAAGATAAAAAAAAAAAAACATATGCTGGGAATGTACAATCTGACATATTTTCGCTTACTTGTCTGGGTGAAGATACCACAAGAAGATAGATAAGGATAAAAATCCACAAATGGAAAGTACATAAACTGCAATCCAGGCTATGATTAAACATACTGCTAATCATATGCAATATAATGTGCAGTCTGCTTACAGTTGCATTTTGTCTTTATTCTAGACTTTGCAAGAGTCGCAACCTTCATCTAACAGCTTGTCTCTAAAGGAACTGCACTCTAGAGGTAATCTATCGGAAGATACTTTAGTCAAGTGGAAATAGTTCAGTTGAAATCAAAGAAAACACCAATAAATTATACAATTAGCCACAAAGTGCATGTCTACACTGGGCATTTCAGGTGCAGTCAATGAGAACTTTGATGATCTGATATCAAATTCAGGAGTGTGAAGATTTTAAAACTAAGGCCTTGAGTTACACTAAGCCTTCGTGAAAAAGATACAATTCTGTACTTTGCAAGACCACACAAGCCAACAAAATCAAACTCAAAATAACCACATCCACTGCTTGCTCAAGTAAATTTCAACGATAGTCTGTTACAACTCCTCGTACACATACGAGGAACGAAAACACCCTCCTCCCAGAAAACACAGCCTCAGAACAGTTTTTAAGAGTCTTCAAGAAGCACATGAGAACGGCACTGCGTGTCCATTGTCATGCAGAACAATGCCGGTGAGGAAAATGTATCTACGAGACAAACATACCTCAGGAAGTACTCTGCCAGATCACGTCCTGTTCCACTGACAAGGCACAAATGACAACGGATAAAGACGAGTGGAAGAATGTAGACTTGAACGGGCCGAGACTTCATAATTCCATTAACCAGTTCGGGCTTGCATTGGCTAACCGAACAACTTTGCTTCAGGAAGCAAAAATGTAACCAGCCACTCAGCTTCTTCTGCTCCGCTTCTTCACAAAACCAGTGGGAGTGGATGTGGGGTAGGTTAAGAAAACAGCTAGAAACACAAGCAAGCTGAGGTTGCCGGGCTTCCCTTGCATTTAATCACTTAGCTTGCTTTTCTGTTAAAACTTGTTCCCACAGGGCGCCTTTCAAATTCACACTTAAAAGTCTGCCAAGCACTTAAGGACCAACAAACTTGTTTACTTTCATATTCTCAAAAAAAAAGAAAAAAAATTTCCATTGTTTTAGCACAGTACATATTTTTCTGTGAGTCTGCCTCTTCTACTAAGAGTAAAAAAATATGATAAAATTAACCCCTGTAAATAACCATAGGACCCAGAAAGACTTTTTTAAGCACAATTGTTTAGCATCTTAAAAAACGTTTTTTTAAAAGGTGTGTTTGAAATTAAATGTCCCAGTTGGGGACAAATGTACAATTTCAGTTATGCAAAAATAAAACAAGCATGGATAATTAGTAGCCTCCAGTCAATCAAGACTAAACATTTGTTTTAGCTAAGGTGTATAGCTTGAATAAACCATGAACAAAGAAAAGCTATTTTCATCTGTTATGTCTAAATTTGGCTCATGTGAAGCATTTATCTACACTTTATGTTCATACTTTGTGCATCAGACTTGTGGTTTTTGTTTTTTTCTGTCTCTATGAAATCCAACTCAGGTCTTTTGTAAACCCCAAAAATCTGAGGTTCAACTGAAGATACAGGAAAGTCTGGCTAAATAGTTCAACACTGAACCTTGTCTATGTCTGGTAACATAATTTCAAGCTGGTGCTCGGGGTAGGATCTAGTTATAAGCCTAAGTCACAAATCTGAGGAGTGTGTGTGATTTTAAAAACTTAAAACTACTGGAGCATAATGTCTTATTCTTGGCCAAACAAATCAAGCCATTAGCATAAGTCCCATCCATCCATTGTCTATAGCTTATACCTGGTTTATTATTGCAGGGTCACTGCATGGCTAGTGCCCATCTCCAGCAGTCTTTGGGCAAAAAAATCAACTCTCTTGCGACATTTTTCTCCAAGTATACAATGAAATAAAGTAGGTTAGTCTTAGATATGATAGGTAGAAGCATCCAATGAAGCAGCAGTAACACAAAACTACAGCCCACTTTATGTATTTTCCCAATATTTAGCCAACTTAAATCTAATCAGTTAAGCACATGTTTTACAGTTAGGCTATATCAGGGGTTTGGAACCTAACTTTAGCAGAAAAAATAGAGTAGAACTCTGTGTTTTTAGCATAAAAGTAGCACAAAAGTGGAGTTCCTGGACAGGTTATTTTCAAAAGTACACTAATGGCTCAAATGGGATTTTTTTTTGTTTGTTTGTTCAGACTATTTCCACATCATTGGGATGCAGATTGCATTCTTTTTTGTCACATTGCTTCTATGTGGAACATTAATGGACTGGGGTTTCTTTTGTTCTAAAACCTGAAAATGTAGCACCTGGTTAACTATAGCCATATAGCAAGTGTTATTATCAGGTAATTTCAAAAATTGATAAATTGTCTTTAAAAATAATTAAAAAAAAAGTGTCAGGTTGGTTTTGTGGAACTGTATAGATTTCATTTAGTGGGAGCTCCTGCTTGGGTTGTGAACTCTGCTGACCCCTCGCCTGTACATCTGCCCTACAAAAGATAAAGCTAACAGACTGGGACATTAAATGTGCTGCGTTCAACTCACCATATATAGGCTGTCCTGCAAACCAAATGCCTTGGGGGCAAAAACACAGTCAAATCTTCCCGACAAGGCAACTGAATCAGTATCTCGATGCAAATGAACTTCAGCCCTCCCTTTCCACATTTTCTCTAAACACACAGGACAAGTCATGAGAGGCTAGGGTTGCTCTCTTGTTATTTGTTTTGACAGGCCGGTTGCACAGGCACACAAAAAAAGAGAGAAAAATCCAGCTCTGAGCTGCATACAGATAAAAGCTGTATCAGATTATTCAATGTGTGCCATTAGGCCAAGCTGGATGGATGCAGCTGCACGGCACGGTGCTGCGAACTATCACAAAAAAAACGAAAAACAAAACAGAAGGTCACGCAAATAGCCGGAGCTACAGCCAAACGGGTCTAAGTCGTTTGAGAACCTTCCAGATACAATTAGCCCAATTTAATAGTGATTATCAAGTCGTCGCCACCTCAAGCCATAAGACCTATAGTCGCACGGTGTGAGCGAGAAGAAAAAACGTGCTCAGCTCGCTGACATAGTGTCGCTTGCAGCCCGTACTCAGTCGGACATAGCGTCGTTGCATCATGACTCCGCAGTTTAAACCACACAGCTTGTTATGGCAGCGACACATCTCTTTACCTCTAAAGTGCGTATTTCTTGCTGCGTGAGGTCGTTGGACGCGGCGCATTTGGTCCGTAGCCCCTGTAAACTGGAGATGGAGATATCAATCATATTCTGGATGAGCTCGCACTGATGGAGCGCGGCCATCGCTGCGCCACCGCCGCTGTGCCTCTCCGGCTGCTGCTCATCACTCTCGACCATCTTCCCACCGTTAGCAGACACGCTATCCATTCCTCAGCATTGGGGCACGGCTGGAGAGGGAAGGGCTGGAGTCAAACCGCTGAGCTCGGATAAAACATAAAGCGGCAGTCCAGCGACGCAGCGACCTATTGTGGAAGTTAGCTGACAGCAATTGTCCCCGGCTGCCAATGCTGGACTATTAAAATAAGAAATAAAACTTAAAAAAAAAAAAAAAGAAAAAGAAAAAAGAATGTTTCCCAAAAACTATGTTAGGCAGTCTTGATTCCGCAAACGTTCGGCTTGTGTGTCCAGTCTACGTGGGCTTCCGACGAGAGGGCTTCACGAGCTTCCACGGACAGCTCTGGCAGAGGCTTCACCGACTGTCAGCTGTTGGGAACATCACTGTGCGCGGTGCAATCTGGGAAATAAAGTCACACTGGTTATAAAAACGGTTCTCGGCTCTACACCTCCCAACGCTCTCCCACAACCTGCTCCTAAGATGAAAAGTCAACACACACAGGGGAGGGTGGGGGGAAACGTTACAGGAAATGACATGCTACTGTTTAAATCATCAAGAGAAAACATTCCAGCGGCAAAGGAATGAAAACATCTGTGACTGAAGGTGCGATAACATCAAAAATGGCTGGGTTCCTTTTAGGTGCTTCCAGTCATTTACATGGAAAAGCTTGACAGATCTGCGGCTCTTGCATGGAGGACTAAATAGGTCTGGCACCTTTTATACCAACATAGACCTATATTGCCCCACAATGTCCCTTTTGCAAAAAAAAAAAAAAAAAAAAGAATGGACTTTTTTAGTAGGGGTTATTGGAAATATGAACAACTAAAACATAAATATTTAAGATGCAAGTTTCGTTGGACAAAAAGGGCTTTAAAAAAACAGCCACTCGTACTTTCTGTAATATAAAGTTGTATGGATTGGAGACACAATTACAAGCACTCTATGCATTTCACAAATCCATCCAGCCAGTGTCCATAGCCACTTATCCTTGCAGTTATGGTGAATATCTCGTGTAATCATTGCAGGTCACTAGCGGGTATTTGCAGGCAACTTTGATCCTTAGGCCTTGCAAATACTGGAGTCTACTATTTGCTTGCACTTTTCATACTATTTATCTTTTTAAATAAGTAAGTTAGCACAATGCACACAATATCCATTTTCCGTAAAATGCTCTTCCAGCAACACTAGATCCCACTGGTTTATTTGACTTGGAAGTAAGTTATTACGTCATTCAAATTCAAATATCAATACATCATTAGAAAGTAGCTTTGAATAATAAACAGTGTTGTGTTTGTTGAGATAATCATGAAAAATAACGCTGCTCTCTATGTGGTAACCTTAGGCTTTAATTTGTAACGCTGTAGGATGCCTGAATGTAGCAGAAGCCTCGATTCCATGTATTTTCGCTTCCAAGAAGCAAATTTCTTTTTCACAGAAAAAGGCAAAAGGAACAAGACGGGAACAAAAGAGGCAAAGACAACAGGCTAGCAACTCCATAGTAGCGCTGGATTGCGAGACTAATTACCACCTTTCACCTCAGTGCACATCACTCTATACTGAGCAAAACCGATGCAGAAAGCCTCAGTCTGGGCTATGAGTTAGATTTTATGACGAGTAGACATCCAGTTATGTAGAGTAAACCAGCATAGTTCAGTTAAATTTTTAAAGTTATTGTTATACTGTGGGGATTTGCATTCTTTTTACGGTCCGTTGTCTTGGCAGCGTTACGTTTCCTCCCAAATTTAGCTGACGTACAATAGAAGTCAGTTTTCTACCAGTACACATTTTGACAAAGACACATGCCATCATTTCACATCATGTCATACTCTGCATGCACTCTCTGTTGTGGTGGGATGACTCCACAGCTCTCCTCAACCACTAACAGTGCAAGCGTTGGAATGAGGGTGTGATGTTCTTTCCTTTAATATACCCTCATTATACAATGGGAACGTGACTCACTTCTCAAGGAACCTTCCTCTCCATCTGTCAATCCGTCTCCCCATTTGATTGCAGGAAGACAGAATGCATTTTTCTCAAATACGTGCACCTCCGTTTATAGCAGAAAAGTGCAGAAGTGAAAAAGGAAATAAAACCCAGAAGAGGTTACTTTTGGTACACCAACCAAGTCAACCCCCTGACCATCTGAAACTATTGGAGTAAATATAATTGTATTTAGCAATAAAAGCAGACACAAATGTACTTCAGCCTTTGCATTAAATTAAATGAAATAAATTAGCAATGATAGAATGAGACAAGCAAGAAGGACACAGTCTCTGTGTTTAACTCTCTTTGCATGGTGCACCACTTGGTCAGTTTGGTCCTGCTAGAATAACAGCACAGATTTCATGGCGACACGCCGACAGAATGTGAAGGCAGCTTCGGCGTCTGTCAACCTTCAAAAGCAAATAACTGTGTGGCGATAAAGGGATCAAAGCAAAGGGAAGCTTTGAAGGGATTTGGTCAAATATCTTTAACCTAAAGAGATCAAACCAAGTCAGATCAATGACGAGACGCATGGAAAGACCGCAAAATGTTTTTTGAGCATGCTAGATTTAAAATATGACAGTGAATTATGGGAATAGATTATTCACCGAGGAAGAACTGCGCAACTTGATTTTCCTTTATATACATAGTTAGACGTCTCAAGGATAATTTGTTGCATGGTGAAAGGTTTCAAATAGTAGAAGTTAAAATCTTAACAGCCACTAAGCCATTTCCTTTACTACTAATAATCTCTAGAAAAGCTATATTTGTACGAACTTCATGAATCTTTTTTTTTTTATTTTTTAAAAACATATTTTTGTCTCACCACTTGTGTCACCTTCCCTCCATGTTCTGTGTTCTTTCCAGAATTTCATTATCCTAACGGGCCTTTACACAGTACAGTAACAAACAACAAGCATTATGTAACCAAACCAAAAAGTACCTGCATTATGCATTAAAAAAAAAAAAAAATGAAGTGCAGGGAGAGATCCGACAGCTGACTGCTCGCTGACACAACTCAGCTGAGAACAGCGTGATCCTTTCCCAACATGACGGTCTCTTAAGCTGTCTAAACTGTTTCGCTATTGGACGGCTGAGACGCCACATGTAGAGTGGAGCTCACAGCTAGAGATTAAATTAGACTCCCAACGGTCTGATCCTGTCTTTTTGTTTTTTTTGGTAACAGGGCTTCCAAGGGGGTTTTCCGCGTTAAAGGAAGCAGAGGACTAAAAAGAACGTTTTTGGTGCTCTAGAGTTAGCTCAGAAGTTCCAGGCTCACGCCTTCTTTCGGAGTTGCCCTGTATTTTGGCTCCATCCACCGTCCCATCGACTCTGGCCAGTTTACCTGTTCCTACAGAAGAAAAGCATGAATCTGCCACCACCATGTTTGGTTTGTGAGCAGAATGATGTGCAAAAGAAAATTTGCCAAACATTTCAGTTCCTAGATCCCTGATAGAGATACATTTGTACATTTAATTCTGAAAATGAATAAATGACTCAGGGGGGCTGTATACAATTACATGGAAGACTTTTCAGATCTTCATTTGACAAAAGATGTTGAAAACCACCTACCAGTTTTTCATTAACTTCACATGTACTAGTTTTCGTCGACTTAAACGACAAATTACCAAATTGGGAGTTTGCAGTTGTGACAAAATGTGAATAAAGTTCAAGCACTACTACTACTTTTGCAAGGCGTTGTGACAGCACACTTGACTTGCTGAAACCTATGAAGACAAGTTTTTAGCTCAACTACTGACTTTGCATAATTCAAATACTTACCTGTTTGTGCAGGTTTGTCTAGCATGCCAACTGACAGAACATGTCCAAGTTGCAATCAATATGCTTTTAAAAACCACAAACTTTTCTTCTTCCACCAATTTTGAATACTTTTTTAAATAATATAACCCCGTAGCGGTTAACATCTTTCATATTAATAAGAAATGGAAGACAATCTATAGGGAAACGTCAGAATGGTCATCAGTCTGGACAATGATCAAGGCAGGTAACTTTGTAAAAGTATGAAAACTGTCTGAAAAGCATGCATTAAATTTAATCTGAGTTGTACATAAATATATTTAAAGTCATTATTGTCAGTGAGTTATGCCAAGTATTCCTTTTGCTTTAGTAACTCCCTTTGGGTGTGAAAGCAATGACTGGAATCCAAGTTGAGAGACATTCTCAAGAAAAAGGGTATGTACACACTCGCTTTACTGTTTGCCTTAGAGCCACACCCACCTGCTCTGTTACAATCCAGGAAGCTCCCTGTGTGTCACTTGAAGGCTGCAAGACCGACAGACGTGGGTGGAGCAAGGTCGCCCTCCATGCTCAAAGTGTTAACACAGTCACTTACAAGTTGACTGACACAATTGTCTCTAAACCATATCAGTGTAGTTTCCTCAGGGAATGCAGATGTTTTCATTTCGTCCCAGTCTGCAGTCGGTTCCTTAGAGACACACTCAGGGTGGCACAACTTTGATTAGGTCAGAAGCTGAGCTTTAAGTATTAAACTACTATTTAGAAGTCAAATGCATTTAAAAGGCAAGGTACCGGATTCATAGAATATTTGTTTAACCTTGTACCGAAGGTAAATTTTTGTTTTAGGAGCAGGAATCTAAGCAATAACATTTTCATCAACTGAAAAATTACATTTATACAGTATTTTTCAAAAGCGTACAAAAGCATTTATAGTCTATTTGATTCTAATGCTTCAGTGAAAAAGAGGAAGTTAAGGCCTTAAGACAGCTGTGGATTGTAGTTGAACGCATCCAGCAAACGTAGCAACTAATGTAATTTATTGTGATTTTTTTTAAAGACCTGAATATCTATTCAGGGCTTTTAAAAAAATCACAATGAGACAGTATTCTGGTATTAGTTCTAATTTAACACTAACAAAAACAATAATACTTAGCTAACGTCAGGAATTACAGCAGTGAGTCTACAGAATACGAATGAACACCGCCACCTACTGGACAGCTACAGGTAGTGACTGTTTTACGTCTGATGAGCTCTCACACTGAACACTGTAAAAAATAATGAAAAAGCCAGATAGCTCTTCTTTCTTCATTGCCCATCCGGTCGTTTTTGATTAGTTGAATTCCCCAAATTGTTTCTATTTACTAGAACAATAAGGACATTTTTTTTAAAGTCACCAGAAAACATACTCTTTTGTTCCTAAATCATAGGATTAATGTGGTTGTACTCTCTGGTTATTCTCTATTTAGAAAACCTATTTAAACCCAACCTTGCATTTTCCTGGCTGATATCTTGAAATGACGCTTAAATATTTCCATCTTATATTCTTTTCTGATGTTGTCTATTTTGTGGAGAGTACCTTCAGCAAATCACCCACATAGCATAATGTTGCCACCCCCATACTTCCTACTTGCTTTCTCAGGCTTGCAAGTTATGCCGTTTTCCCCCTGAAATGTAACAAACATTACTATGGCCAAACACATAATTCTAGTTTCATTTGGTTGTAT